AAGGATGATAGGGAGAATGAGAATAGGTACCTAAATTCCCACATATCGTAATAACTTGCAATGAACTTCCTTCATTTTTACGTTTAAGAAAAATGTGAAAGTAATATTTTTCTTTTGCCGAATAATCAGATTTTCAATTCTGGTGTAAAAATGATTGAAGACAGTTTGCTTTTCAAATACAATCCTTTAGACAAAATAAGCATACTCAGCCAAGTATTTACTATCTACTTTCAAAATCTTGTGCACTTTTGACATGTGGAAAAAAAAGTCTGTTTTAGAAAATCAGGGAAATGTTATATTTCAGCATCATTTATTCATTAATGAATGAACTTGATAATGAATCCTTTTTACCTAAGCCCCATGACACAGCTACAACCCCATTTTACTTACTCATCCCATAATGAATTTTGGATCTTAATTTTTACATTTTCATAAAACCAAATCTTTGAAGGTATTATATCAACAAATGATCGTTTATTGAGTGCGAAAAAAGATGGACTGGAAAGAAGAAGAAAAATTGAATATAACGAACATGAGCACCTATAATTTTTACGTACTGAGTAATCTTAAAATGTAAGAAAATATTCTCTCTAGTATCTAATGTTTTATTGAATTTTTAGATACTTTCTGACTTTTTAGTTAGTTTTCACTCTTATTTTCTGATAAAGTGCATGATCATCAATATCTCCAAAAATTTTAATGTTTATAGTACTTCCACGAACTTTAAATAAAAAAAACGCAGAAAGCATTAAAATAAATAATTTTAAAATGAATGTCATCTCTGAAATTAAATTGTTTTAAGACACTTGTGGAAGCCCATCCATTTACAAAACTTCGGAAATATTTTTCAGTCAGGTACAACTCCTTAAAGTGATTTCCTTTTAATGAAAGCTTTTAGTTTTAAATAATTTTAGTTGTCCTGAAAGGGGGCCATTAATTTTTTCTTTTGTCAAAGGAAAGGACATAGGCAAAACTATTTTTTAACATCCATAGAAAAGTAAGGCAGTTGCAAAATAAAATAAATAAAATTACTTTTTTTAAGAAAAAAAAAAGAAAGAAAAAAAGTCGGTCGCATACAAAAAAATAGCATTAACTTCACAAATTTTCGATTGCTCAAACAGGCACCCTAAGAAGGAAGAAAAAAAAAAAAATCAGATACTGATGCAAAAACCAAAAAGTCCCAAACAAGAACAAAGTTTTATCATCAAAATGTTTTTAAGGAAAGACCAAAATTTAATCATTTTTAGTACGAAATTTTGGTAAAAAATATTTTTTTTTGCGCCAAGGAGATGTCGAAGATTAGTATAGGAAATTTAGAGTCCTTTTATATTTAGTCGGAAATTCTTGCAAAAAAAAAAAAAATCAAATTGTTGGATGAATGAATGTTTTTTGAAACAGAAACACCATTTTTTCGAAAATCTTCTGAATCATAAAATAAAAAAACGCACTAAGACTAAAAAATTATTATTTAATTAGAAAAATTGCTTTTAAGATTTAAGAAGACCACTATTGTCTTAAGAAAAAAGATTTTCAATGGATCATAAATTTTTACGAGAATTAATTATTTTTAATTACAATAATTAAGTTTTACTTTTAAATCTTAAAATTCTGTATTAAGTTCAACCTTTTAAGTACCCGCCGTGCCGAAATAGAGAGCAAAATCTAAAAGTGAATTAGTTAAAAACCCAGTTTTTGATAATATTTAATAAATTAATAATACGCACTAGATTACGTAGTAACGAAAGTAAAAAGCAGAAAATGATGAACGTATAAAAAGCAACTTCATGGCAATACAAAAAATAAAATGGGAAAAAGTAACTGATTGCACGAGGATTGTGATTATGAGTATGCTGAGTAACAATAGCGAATCAAGAAATGAGAGCTGTTTCGTTAAGAGGAGTCTGGTGAACGAGAAGCTAGTAGAAAGATAACCGCTTTCCATTCTAAAAAACAAAAAAAAACAACCCCTCTTCCTCTTCAATTGATCCCGTTGCCAAAACTGCCTCTCATCACTGTTAGAAAAAAAGGAGCCATGATAAAGCAATGAAACAACACTTACAGCCCAAACTCTCTACTCTAAGATAAAAATGGAAGGAAGGAAGGAAAAAAAAAAAAAAAAAAAAAAAGCCAAGGAAAATTCAAGCAGCGAATTAAAATGGGCGAGCAAACGAAATTCCGGGAGGGGGGGTTGAAGTAAAAGAAGTTCACCAATTGGTAATATAATTACGATCACGGAAAAAAACTAAATAAATAAAAATAGAAAAATGCTAAAATACAAAAACAATTGAATAATGGAATTTGTCTTCCTCTTTTTACACGTTCCCAAAAAGAATTTTTAACAGGATATTTTTTTAATTATGAGCGACGACCAAAATGACAAAGCCATCATTTGAGATACACACACACACACACACACACAGTGTAATGTACAAGGTGAGCTAAACTGGAATATAAACAAGTTCTATACAGATAAACAAAATAATATTTGTGAATGTTTTTCCAATTATTAAAAATAATTATGAAAGTAAAAAAAAAAAAAAATGAACTGGTTAACATGATTGAAATAAATCAACAAATCACCTTTTCAAAAAGGTGATATAAATATTTATTTTGAAATAGGTAGAACATTAGCACGTAATGTAGAGAATAATGACCAATAACTGAATTTAAGTGCTCTTTTTGTTCAACCTGTAAGAAAAAAAAAAAAACAGGGAGAATGAAAAAAGCAAGACGAATATATAAACCGGGTATCTTCCATTTTATTTTAATGTCCTCTAAACGATTTTTTCTCACATACGAAATACCGAATCCAACTATCTCAATTAGATCGTATTTTTTTCTTGCTTCATATCCTGAGAACATTTTTCAAATAGGGTTAAGAATGCACACACAGGAAAGAACTCTTACTCTTCTTACAGAAGTCTAAACAAGGACATTTTTCAAGCTTATTGCCCGAAAATATGATCATTTTTTTATCGCATTTTGGACGCTATTTTTCGCTATATTTCAGAAAACATTTGACACAGGAAAAAGCGGTAGGCCTGATTTAAAAGAAATATATTAATTACTTTTCGTTGACGGTGATTTATATTATATTTATTTGCGGAAAAAGTGTCCAAGGTATTAGGCTAGGTAAAATGAAGTAACAATTGGTAGGAGAAAAACGTTTTGGACGCTAAAATCGAAGCTACTGTTTTCATTATTATTAGAATATAACTCCTATGAAGATTCAACACAATAGTAAGTTTTAAAAATTAAAATATTTAATCATTTAGTGGAATCCGTTGGAAAGAGAAGTACTAAGACATAACTAACAAGAAACCGGTAAGCAATAAAAATGCACCCAGGAGCCAAATAGACAAATTAAAATTAAATTAAGGGTTTTTTTTTTTACTTCATAGAAACATTGAACCCCCATACACACACCAGGATCACAAATTGAAGCCAATCGAGGAGGAAAAAAAAAAAAAAGCAAAAAAAAGCAGCGACTTCAATTTTATTCTAGTTTAGGAAAAGCCAGAAAAAAAATTAATATAAGTGTATAGTAGGGATACAAAGATAATGATGAAACCGATCCAAAGATTTTTATCCTGCTATGATTCATTTGACATGTGGAATTTTATCAGCATTATTAGGCATCCATAGTTCGTTATCTGCTGCTCACAAAATCATGTCGCATCAGTTCTTTAGGGGTACTTAGGCACATTGGCATGTTACATTTTTGCCCAACATACGAAAATTCGCATGGATAAATTTGGGGAAGAAATGAAGATAAAATATATAAAGAAAATGTTTACTTAAATGATGTGTGTCCTCCTAGACAGTGATTTTTCAATTTGAAAGGTCTAACATTTTTGAAGAAAAGCAAAGACTAAAAAAAAAACGGTTACGAGCTGGGGAGAGGAATGATTAACAGTGATGAAGATGGGAAGCTTCTGAATAAGAAAAATATCGGATCAAAGGTTGCATGTATTCACAAGACAAAAAGGTAATTAAAATTTAAGGTGAAAAGGAGATGGGGGAGCAAGATGTATGAACGAATAGAATGATTAAGAGAAAAAAATTAAAGCATGTACGATTGAATCTATAACTAAAACTAAGTTGTTTAAAGCGCGCATTAAAACTTAAAAGATTGCTCTCTAAATATTTTGCTATTCTTACTCAGACTGTTTTCAAAGGAAAAGAAAAACTGGATAAAGGTTTGTGGCTTATGACAAGCTTTCGGGACAATTGAAAAATTAAGAAATTAGATTGAAAAAAATAAGTGAATAATTTTTTTTCATATGGGAAATTTAAAGGAGTAAATAAAACGAACTGTTCGTTTATAGAAGAAAAAAATAAAATTCAGTGAAAAAGGAGAAATGAAATTAGTCTATGAAAGTGAGACTGGAACATATCGGCTATCAGATTGTTTTTAAGACTCTTCTCAGATATTTTTCCACGCTAAGATTGAGTTAAAAAAAATATAAAGTATGGGAAAATTAGACAGAGTATTAATAAAAAAAATAAATTAAAATGAGAAAGCAGGCTTATTTAATTTTAGATTTTAAACTTAGCAGGCGGCATCGAGTTTGGAGCGATGGGAGTCAAACAATGGACCGCACCAAGACGCTTAATCATGACGAAAAGGAGACAAAACAAAGAAAAAACATTGCCAAAAAGAAATTCCATCGGAGATAAAACCATGAGATCGAGTTATTAAAATCAATAGCGGCTATATTGACATAGACGTCTAGTATTGAAGAAGGGGAGAGAAAAAAAAATATAAAAAATATTCTTACCTGTAGTGTGTTTGTAAGTAGTCACACAAAAGCAGGACCGAACATTAACGTGCTTCGAAATGGCGATGTATACGAGTGTAATGACGTCATTTAGAATTCGTATGTATCCAGACGGCTGATTGGTCGCTTATTTTAGTTTCACCAATCAGCACGGTCGTTGCTTAAGATAGTGTAGATACCACTTGAAGTTGGCGGCATGCAATATCGTACATTATGGGAATGAGAAAGAGAAAGCACGTTGGTTTCCGATCACGGAAAGGCCCCAAAAGGCTCAAGTTACATTCTGGACATACCAAAAAGGATTTTTCTTCCAATTCACAGTAAGAAATGATTTGAAAAACGATTTCAATTAATTTTTTTTTTTTTTTAAATATTTATCCTCAAATTGTAACCTTGGTGAATATATTAGCGTTTTTCTCTACTTTTTTTTTTTTTTTTAAAAGTTTTACTTTTACGCATGCGTGTTAGCGCACATGTGAGAAACAGGAAACATGGCTATTTTCAAAAAATATTTGTAAGAAATAACGCAAGATTTTAGCACTTAGTAGAATTTAAATAATATATTAGTGTCGATTAACAAGCTTATGCCGCTTTACATTTAAAAGATCTGTATGTTTCGCTCAATCAACTACAGGGTTAAGTAAATAAAGCATAGCATTATTCATTCACGGTAGTTTGAATTGAGGTATTTTTATTCACCGCTGTTAAAATAGAGAATGACTGTTCGCTAATTAAATGTTGCCATTATTATGGAATGTTTGGTTAAAATCTAGTCATGTAGGACAAAGACTAACGTGTGTAATAGAACATTTGTAAGCTAATCTTCAGCGAAGTGAAGTACATTTATTTGCTTAATAAGGTTAAATCAAAAATCGTTACTATCTTCACTAAAATCAGAATTTGCTAATCAATCAATGTTGGTATTTTAAATAAGTTTGAACAAAATATTTTTCACGATTACACATAACAATATTGAATCCATTAACTTACTATAGAAAAATATCATGTCAAATCATTTTTTCGCTTTTATTGTTTTCGACAAGTGAAAACGGGTGGCTGAATAAGACTGGAGAATAGTTACCTTTCTTATCAACTACTTAACTATTCAGTCTTTTCTGCGGGTAAGGTGTAAAGAAACAAAATGTTCTCAGTGTTGCAGTTTAAATCTTAAGCTGCTTAACCATAGTTTTTGATTTTACTTCTTCAGAGTTTCTCTTAGTGTTTGTCTTAATAATTGTATGTATTATTTTTGTAAACATAAGTGAAAAAGCTCATAAAAAAATTTTAAAGTTAAAGTTAACTTTTTTGTGTGTGAAAATTCGCTAATAACATGGAAAAAAGAAAACGAAATTTTATCGTCAAAAGCAACAAAACCTAGGATAGAAGATCAAAGAACTTTTGTAAAAATTATTTTTTATACCTTTTAGAACCTTTTTGGAATTTTGTTTAAAGATCTTGTATATTTCTGATGTCAACCCGGGTCCATAAATTTGTACGGGGAATTTTTTGCGGTGAAAAAAAAAAAATACAAAAATACATTGATTTGGAAATTCTTGGAGAAATCAGATGATTGTCGGATTTTCATTAAATTTTCAGGAATATTCAGAAATTAATAATTAAATTATTTTAGACTTTTTTTTATTATTATTTTTTTTTATTTTTTTATTTTTTTTCGACAGTCTGTATTTATTTATTTTCGTTACCCACCCATTTAATGAGATTTCCAGAAATTCTTTGTGTATCGCTTAACCATTAGCATTCTGAATTATCATTATTATTCCCTTTCCATTGCATTCATTTTCAAGGCCTCCAATTGCAGTAACCTTCAAAGGCGTTTTTTGTTGCCATAGCAGGATATGAGGACACAACTATGAAATTCAAATTCAATGATCAGTTAGCTTCAGTGGAATGATAATCGTTTTGCACAGCAAATGAAGTCACTTGTGATGAAGGTTAATGTTTAGTCCACGGATAGTTTTTTTTTTTTTTTTTTTTTTGCCATTATCACCAGGAATGGCGAATATATACATGGAATACTTTGAGGAAATGGCATTAGAATCTATATCTCTAAAGCCAACTCTATGGTTAAGGTACGTAGATGACACCTTCATACTCTGGCCACACCAGGAAGATGTTCAGGTTCTACTGGATCATGTGAACTCGATAAGACCTTCGATACAGTTCACAATGGAGAAAGAGAGTAACAACACACTCCCATTCCTGGATGTTCTAATATCTCGAACGGAGCATGGGTTTAAGACATTCGTAAACTGACATTCACTGGGCAGTACCTCAATTTCAACTCCCACCATCCATTCAGCGTAAAGAAAGGGATCGTCCATTGCTTACAACATCAAGCAAAAGTCATAAGTGCTGACCCAGAGACGTTAGATAAAGAATTGGTCAGTATAAGTAGTACCCTACAATGTAACAACTATCCTGGGTACATGGCAGTAGCCCCTAAAATTGGGATAGGCGGGTACAAAAGGAAGAGGACAAGACTACTCAGAAAACAGTCTGCCTGCCTTATGTGAAGGGGTTATCAGAGAAAATACAAAGGATCTGCGGTTCATATAACATCAGGACAACCTTCAAAAGCAGCGACACTTCGCAGATATCTCTCCCGAGTAAGACCCCCCAGAGAGGAGAACATGACTAAAGACTGTGTTACGCTATCCCGTGCAGCTGCGGAAAGGAATATAAAGGAGAGACAGGCCGCCCCCTCAAGGTAAGGCTTCAGAAGGCTGTAACGCAAGGGGAAGTAGAAAAATCAGGCGTGGCTGACCGCATATGGAGAGAGAAGGGAGATCACCACCCTCTGTGGGATCATGTTGAGATCATAGACAGGGAACACCATTGGAAAATTCATAAACTTAAGGAATCAGCACATATGCTAGGCCACAAAAATCTCCTGAACTGATCAAGCATAGAAAAAAGCAATGATAACAAAGTTGCAATATGAGCTCTGGTAAAAACATGCCAGCAAAAATTGCAATATGGTAAAAATGGTTGCTGAAGACATTAGGTTTATAATACCCAGAAATTCAAATTCCTCAAGGACACATGGCACAGTGGATAAAGATAGATCCAGTGACAAGACCCAAAGAGTGTGAGTTCAATACCCAGTTAAGGCAGTGGAGAACTTTCAGAGGGAAAATTAACAGGAGATAACTGATAGCTGACATCCATCAAACATGGCACGTGGAACTAGAACAGTCTACCCCAGTGAGCGAAATAAAGGGTTCAGTTCGACATTCCAAACACCTGAAGAAGGCCGGAGCATACAACAGCCGAAACGTTGTGATAAATATGGCGACAAAGATGAGGACAATAGTCCAAATAATGTACATAATACCTCATCTCAGATTTATAGATGAACTATAGTAAAGTTGAAAATTATTGGTGATTCTTTTTAACTTTTCTTTAACAAGTGTCTTTGTAAGTAAGATTATAAAGCCAAAGTATCTAAAATCAATAAAATAGAGTGCTTAAAATTTAGAGTATTTCTTTTTTTTTATAAACATGGTTTCATTGGTTTTTTTTTTTTTTTTTTACTGATAGTTGGAAGAAAATTCATCCACATTAACAAAGAAAAAACTATTTTGCAATATTTTCTGCTGAGGAATAGTTTAGTTTTGCATTTAGTCTCTATTTATCATGTGTTGAGTGGGAGGAATGGTGACAGACATGATACATATGCAACACAACACCGTATGTTGTTCCTTTTCAAATTGTGCATTATGGCAGCAAAAGTAAAGATGGTTGATAAATTCTAGATAGTTCAATTGAAAGCAGTACATAAAGTTTAAGAAAAGTGAATTTAACCATGAAAATTTTCTAGTGATGATTTTCAAACTCTTTTTGAATTCTGACCCAATCAATCAATAGTGGAATTGACCAAAAAAACTATTGGTCACTTTATGATTGTAAGATATTTTCAGAAAGTGGGTAAAATGTATTCAGTCCAGCATAAAATAGCATCTCACCATCTACATTTCACTTACCAGGCATGAAAGAATAAAAATGTTCTGTAGAAGTTTGTCACTAGGGATGACAAATGGGTTCACTATGATAATCCAAAACCTTAAAAGAAAAAAAATTATACAAAACCTAACCCTTTTGTGGAAGTAATAATTCTGTATTTGGGAAACTATGAAAAGCATATTATGAATTGGTGAAACTTTGCTGTGGAGCATTACAGTCTTTACCAAACGTTCACCTAGAGTATAAAGTAATTGGTGAGAAATGAATCATTTATAGGACAGGGAAGTTGAAAAGGCATACTGCTGCAGGGCAAAACTCATTCACATGATGCCATTTTTTTTTTTTTTTTTTTTTTTTTTAGAGACAAACAATCCCTCCCCAAAGAATGATATTGCAATGAGGGAATTCTACTTCATGCAGCATATTAGCCATTCTTACTACTTGTCTTTGAATTTGTCATATTCACACCCATTTGCCAGTTCTCTCTTATTCTGTCTGCTTCTTGAGCTTTCCACTCCAGGGCTGGCAGTCTGTCCACCTGCTTCCTACTCTTCAGTGGCATCCATCCAGCCAGCTGCCTGCTTTTTCTCCAGCATCTACATGTATCCATTAGCCATTCATCCATCCATCCATTTACCTTTTACCCCCTCTCTTAATTGGTTGCTGTATTTTTGAACAAACCTAACTGAAATTAGATCTGCAGTTTTAAAGTTTGTGTTGCCAAAAATATTCTCCCTTCTTATAGGTGTGTTAGAAACATTTTAAAATGTTTCTAACACACAATTAAAATTTCCTAATTCTGCAAATATTTTCTGCTTTTTAAAAGAAAGTCTGTAAATCATTGTGCTGCTGTAATAAAAAAAAAATTATGCAAATATATTCAAGCACAGCAACCAATTTATGAATGAGAGAAAATAGATAAATTAAGCCAAAATCAGTGTCAGTTTATGAGGGTCAACTGGAAAAGCTCATAGGGTAACCAAATGAGGTTTGTTTTTCAACATAGTTCCTCTTGTGGTCCACACACTTCTTACATCGGTGTTGCAGTGCTTGGATCCTGTTGGTCAAAAGGATGTCACTATCACTGCAATACTGGTGCCTATCCAAGTGTTTGTTTTTCTGTTGGAGAACATATAATTTTCCTGTGATATGATCAACTGGGTGCACTTTTGATCTGGTGTCAAAACGTGACACCTACTGTGCAGAATATTTTCCATTCTCACAGTATATGCTAATAGCATTGGCTATTGGATTTATAGTCAGTTGTCTATCATCCATTACTGCTTTGGTGGTGACAGTTGCAGGACATCCAGACCTTGGGTCATCTTCAAGACTCTCCTTTCCCCTCCTAAATTCAGCTGCCCACTTTTTCAATGTTGAACTGGAGCGTCCAACAACAATTGGGGTGCTAAACCTTTTTTCTGCAGATACTTAATATCACTACAATGCCAAATTTTGTCCATTTTCAAGAGAACTTGCTACTAGTTACTTTTGAAGTCTTCTTTGAAAGTCAGATGTCAGTTCATCTGGAAAGAAACAATGCAGTTATTAATAAGAGTTGAAACAAATGCATGCAAGATTTCACAGCTCTAGTGTCACACTAATCTTTTCAACTCGTGTTCTATTAGGTTCCATTAAGTCATCCCAGTGTTTTTGAAATCAGTAAGCATTACTGATAGAATTGAGCAATTAATCTGTATTATGAGAGAGTAAATATAGATATAACGAATTTAACCTTTAATCAATTAACTGTCTGAATAAGCAAATTAAACAATTTTTATTACCAATCATATTGTATGAGGTTTAGGGAGAGTAATGCATACACTTTCATTTATTTTTTTATAACATATCAACGTGTTGAATGAAACTTAAGTGGTTATATCATTATTAAAATCTATATAATAAATTCTAATGTCACTGTGTCACACTTTTTCAACTTTATTCCTAGAGGCTGTAGCCCAACATATCGTACCATTTTGTAATTGGGCCAACTCCGTAAGCAAATTAAAAACATTCTGAGCCAGTTCTGAACCCATGAGCCTGAAATTTTAGATTTCCAAGTTTTCATCACTGCAATTGTTTTTGGATCCTGCCATCTTGGCTGATAAAAGCAATTAAAGGGACACAATTCTCTAACTTTGAATAGCTCATGTTCAAATGAAAAAAATACTGTTCTCAAATTATAGTGTTTCAAAATAAAATTGTATTTTCAATTTTACTCTTAGAGGCTCAACATATACAATTTCTGAATTGGACAGACTGTGTGCAAATTAAAAACATTCTGGGTTGGATCTGGACCCACAGTCCTGAAATTTTGGGATTCCAAATTTTCTTGTATGACAATAATTTTTATAACTTGGAAATAATTAAAATTAATTGTGGAATCCGGTGAAAGTATCTATGAAATAAAATTTTTTTTTTTTTTTTTTTTTTTTTTTTCAATCCAAGTGACATTATTCTCATTGCATATTAATCCTTTCATATAAAAGAATTTGGAGGTTATGTTTTAAGTGTTGGTATAATCACCAAAATAGTTTGAAGAATAATTTTCTTAAGTATCCATTGGAAATGCATTTGAGGAAAGAATATCTGTAGTTTCTTATATTTAAGAAAAATACAATCACCATGTCCAACACATCAGGTAATTGTTACTTTACACCCAGAACAGTTGAATTCATATAATTGCATATTATTCAATATGAAAATCAGCACTGTAACATGTCCAAGACCAGTGCATAAAGAAGGGCTTGTAGAGCAAACCAGTGTCCTTTGGTGTGGGGAATATCTTATACTTGCCTCATGATGATCTGTTTACCTAATTGACAAATTATTAAAGGGGTTAAGAAACCCGTTCTAATTAGTGTTAGTTTATCAAGTTTTGTTCAGATTTTTCACTCTATCTCCGTACACTGTTTTACTTCAGTAATTTTATTTTTATTTTATTTTATTTTTTTTTTTTTTTGATTTTCTACTCTTAAATCTTAAACACTGCTGTTTTCTAAAATCTTTTTGAGAGGAAAAAGCAAAAAAAAAAAACAGGATTGTTTAAAACCAATTCACATTTTGGTAGAAATTGATCAAACTTATAGGAAGGGTTTAAGAACAAGGTAATATTGTAATGTACAAGAAATTAAAGCTATACATGATATTAATTTTAAGTCAGATCCTTACTTTTTTTTTTTTTTTTTTTTTTGTTCTTTTGTAAAAATTAAATGACTTCTGCTTTTTATTAGATTGTCTAATGTGTTGGAGCATTAGAACCTGTCTATTATGTATTGATAATCTATCAAATTTGAGTCACCCCAATATTCCATACATTCTCACATTAAGGATAAAAGCATTTACTCACTTTTTTGCAAAGCAAAAGATGCCAAGTTCAACTACCTGTGTTAGAATTGAAGACGCAGTGGTATTAATGAGTGAACAAATTTTGTGAGCTCCCTGTGTTTATATGTATTACTTTTCACCTCTCAAAAATGAAAAAAATTCATATAACAGTTATTCTATCCACTCTAGTTCATAATTTCCAATTTAAAGTACTGTGTATATTGAGAGCCAGTCATTCATACCCACTTAGATTTTAGTTTTGTAATAAATTAGAAACATTTTTCTTGTCTTTTGCAATACTGGAAATATTTGTGTAAAGCACATCTTTGTGGAGGAGAATTAGTTACCATATGTATTTGTGTATTAGTTGACTTCATGTGTAGGGCAACCACTGAATTTTTCGCATGAATGATTTACATGTGTATAATAAAACTGGTCACTAAAAGTGTATGAATTTAACCTCTTATGCTCATCATAAAAACTCACTATATACGGTATATTTTAATCTTATGAAAAATCACTTTCATTCTTTTCAAATAATACTTTTTCTTTTTCTATAGAAATAAATATGCAACAAGTAGCAGAAAAATTGAAGAAAAGGTAAGAACATTTGATCCAAACTACTTTATTTTCCAATTAATCCTAGATTTGCTAGAACAATACAATTTAGTTTGCATGTTGTACACAGACTTGTTCACCTCATTGCATTCTCTTTTCATCATTCTTATTTGCTAGTCATCAAGTGACAGTATGAAATAAAATTTTGGAATCTGCAATCATATAGTCTGAAAAATCTAAAGCAACAGCTCTAATGAAAAGGAATCCTATATCAGACTTTACTACTCTTTATTTTGGCTGATATGTCAGATAAAATGCATGTATCACTGGAATTTGTTTACGTGAAGTGCAGAGACATCAGTTTGACTTTTTTTTTTTTTTTTTTTTATAAGAAAAAAAAAAATGTAAGATTTTTAAATAAGGAATAGGAACCATGTGACTTCCTGGTGACAAGTGTTTTCTGTTTGCAGCATCAGTCCTCACTTTTCTCCATAATTAAAATAATAAGAAGAAATGTTTAAATAAACAAAGTCTCTTGAAACCGCATCTAAAGGGAATGTCTGTTTTTACAACTGAAAATGTTTTGCTATCTCTTTTTTTTTTTTTTTTTTCTTTAATACACTGAAAATTTCCCTCCCTGCAATATAATAAATTCATGTAATGACATTTTCTTAATGCTTTGATTAAAATATTATTTGCAATCAAATTTCCTGTAGTATTATAGCATAACATTATCAATTAAAACTGAAAGATGAAAGTATTGCTGTGTTGTGTATAAAACAGTTGGAGATGTTCAGAACATTTTGCCAGTTTCAATGACAATCGGGTTGAGTCTTTCTCTAGACTCCTATTGCCTCTAAACCTGATTGGTCCACTTTGGTTCCAGAAATAATAATTAAAAAAACAAAACATTTTTCCTTATGGTACAGTTTATAGCAGTTTGGGAAGGATTCCCTATTATTTCAGCCTAATAAACACAAAGTATGGTGCTGATAGTGATATTTGAAATGAGTGTTTTACAGTTTCAGTTTAAAGTGACAACCTGAATTTCTGCAGCTGAAAACGTACCTGTTGATAACATTTGATTAACGGAAAAGTGCAGATAATTTTTGTAATATTTCAATGATTGTTCATTTCATTTTCAATATACATCATTACATATGTGTAAACATTATTGGTAGGACTAACACAAGAAAAACAAAAATAGCCTTATTAAAGGTTCAGCTTAGTGTTTTATATATATATATATATATATATATATATATATATATATATATATATATATATAATAATAATGTTGTTCTTTTATTTGTTTGTTATGTGATTTAGTACTGTGGCAAAAATACCATAAAGTTTTTCATAATAAAAAGAAAAAAAAAAATTTACAAGTTTATTTTCCATGGAAATGATTCATGTTTATGATTAACAGCTTAGTCTGAAAACCTTTGCTTGTAAGTGTGCTTCACACTGGCTAATCTATACATCTAGCTTTGTGTCAATTGGCTTAGATTAACAAATAACTGCTTAGCTAATTATTCTATAAGTTTTTGTACATTTGGGTGGATAGTTTCTATCTAAATAGTGGCCCATTTGAAGACATTTCTGAAAATTACCATTTAAACACAAAATAAAAATCATTTCAACACCTTTGGCTGTCTTAATATCTGATATAGTATACTCTTTTTGTATATATGACATTTGTTTATACAAATAGTTAAAATTATCTAAATTTTAAAAATTGAATCTTGGTTTTGATGAGCAACATGTTTGTGTGTTCCTCTACTAATTTGCATGATGAAAAAATATCCCAAACCTGATAAAAACAGTTTTATCGTCAAAATCTTTAAGAGGAAAGACCAACATATTTTTTTAATTATTTAATTGTTTTTAGAATGTTCAAAATTTTGGTTGAAAATATTTCAAGATTAGTATAAGAAATTTTTGCATACACACTTATTTAATGTTATGAAATTTTAAGAAAATAAGACTGATAACTATAGTAAGTTTAAGGCAGTAAGTAACTAAAATTCAATAATCCATTAGATTGTGGAGAATTGTTTCATAAATTTTTAAGGTTACTGGGTACTTAAAAAAAAAATTATACAAAAAAAGGCACTCACCTTTTTAATTCTTTTTTACAGATATAGCCATCATAGAAAAACATTAGATAAACATCAAGCTTTCAACATCTTAAATAAACAGCTACTGCCGATATTTTTGTGATATTTTAAACTTAAAATAAATGTTTTAAATCAGATTATATTCCTCAGTTTCAGATAAGTATATTTTACTTTTGAAAGATTTCTTAGTAAAGAAAATTACATTGTGATGAATGAAGACTAAAAATTGAAATCAATTTTGTTAGGTGGGGGCACTCCTTCCACTCAATTTAAATTAGCTTTGAAATAGAGCAAAGTATTTTGCTTATTGGAAATATTAAATTTAATTCATTAGCTTGAAATTAAAACTAAAAAAATAGACTACAAGCTAGATTTTTCATTTTAAACCTTAGGTAGCACAAATCTGTGGAGGTACCTAGCATCGGATGAACTTTCTGGTTTTGTTGTCTCCTGCCTCCATCTCCAGCATCTTCCACTTTGCTTTCTTCATCCCTATTGATTTGACACTCATCAAGTGTCCTGTTTTCAGTTAGTAGTTAATGATATAATAATATATTATTTTAGAATGTGTTCTTCGTTTTTTTTTGTTTTTTTTTTTTTTTCATGTTGGTATTTACAAACTGAAAGTAAACACTTCGAAATGATAGCAAATTTATATCAGCTACTGCTCTGAGTCACTGTATTTTCAAATGACTGTGAAAGGGAAAGAAAAAATCTATTTAAATAAAAAAAATTAATAAATTTAAATAATAATTGTTTTAAAATATTATGAATTAGAAAGTTATAAAGTTGATAAAAATGTCATTGTTCTGTTGATAATTCAACTTTTAATCCCTTTATCTCCCCTCCAAAAAACAAAAAGACTAAATATATTTAGTACTAATGCAAAGTTATCTGATAGGCTAATGTTTATGCTGTAGACTACCAGTACTTAGCCTACTTTCTTAATACTATAATATTAAATGTAAATGGTTGTGGCAGATGATTAATAATTACACTAATGTGTGGTTTTATTAATTCATATGTTTGTTATATTTTATTTTTATTGATACTTACATACTTCTCAGAACTCTTGTTTCCAAATCTTGCAGGTTTGGTCACTGCTTAAACTCCTTCCCACTCAGAGTTAATTCTACTTTAATAATACATCTCACCTTATCATGACTTATAGGATTTTTTAATTTGATTTTATATAGAATTTATATATTTGTTAATTATCAACTTAGATTAAATCAAATTTGCATTTCTTATCAGTAGTTTAAGACCAGAATATTAACTAATGTGAAATTTAATTTTTAATCCATTCAACTTGCAATCAATTCTTGTTTGTCCTTGGCACATCTTGTAAGTTAAATGTTATATAGATCTAAAAAACAAAAAGCTTTTACAAAATTTTAGTGCATTATCCATGGAAATATGCCAGTTCATATACTTATAGTTTATTTTTGTATAATTCAGCTTGGTTATTTTGATAAAACTCCTTTTTAATTCTGATGTTAAAAGAATTACGATAGATAAGTTTTTGTGCTATCTTGTGTATTTTAAATAAAAAAATTATTTTCAAACATTTTGATTTTCAGGATGTAGATTTTTCTTCTTCTTCTTCATCAAATGAAGAAGAAAACCCACTCAAACAACTGGTTTTTGATCTCTGCAAGGATTCTAACCAAACCCAAGAAGATGAGTGTAAGAAACCATTTTGTTTTTATGTAAACTTGTTGTAATAAAAATCTATTGCCCTCTTTATTGGAAACTTTAAATCTAATTAAATTGCATGGGGGGGATGTATTTTTACTCATAAAATATTCTCAAAACTAAAATGAAGTTTAAAAATATTTGTATTCCTTAAGAGATGTGTACAATTATGCCATGGTTAGAATTCTTGAAAATTGAAGAAATAAAACATTCCATGTTTTAGTTTGCAATCTTTTGGCACATTTCATGCTAATTCCTTTGGGAAAGCTATGAAATCAAACATCTGCAACCATCTTGATGTTGTTCTATTCCTAGTACAGTTTCTCTTAAGTGTCCTGCCCTAACTTGCAAGCATTGGTTCTCATGAATATTAAGACACTCTTGCAATATTGTTATTGATTTTTTTCAGATAGTTTTTAAAATTTGTATGGTAAATCAAAAAACAAATGGCAAAAATTCTAAATTATTTTTAATGTATGAACAGTAATACATTCTCTCTCAAAAGGTTCCATCCTTTTGGAGAAGTCAGATTATGAATTAGGTAAAAAGAATAGTCCTCTATTACTACAAAACCAATAATTGTTTGCTTACATGCAGCTTATTGTTGGAACATGGGCGCTGAAATTAGTCTATAATGGTAACATGAGCTTGAGATACATAGTGCTGTTTTCTAAGGTCATTAGAATTTACTGCACAAGGTCAAAACTGCTATTTTGGCCCAATCTGTAAAAAGAGACTTTTTTTTCTTTTTCTTTTTTTTTTTTTTTTTTTTTTTTTTTTCCTCAAAATGACATAAAAAATATTAAAATATACTAATCATATTCTGGTGGCTAAGCAGTTAGTAACATGGAAGAGTTTAGGATTCAAACTGACTAAAATCTGTTCATTACATACTTATACCACTGAAGAAAAAACATGAATAGCAATAAATGATGTAACTAAAAAAAAAAAAAAATCCCCGTAGAATAATGATGTAATTTAGTACAATATTTTTGGAAAGAAAATTATTTTTTTCCTAGAAAGTTTTTAAAAAAAATTGTCAGAATAGAATTTCATTTTATGTCTTACATTCATTTGCAAATTTTTAGAACTGGATTTTTTTTTTTTTTGCAACACACTAATGCATGTTAAAATCCTCACATTATTTAGTATTGTTGAAGTTATCGCTAACATTTTTTTTTGTCAAGATTTACAAACTCTACGTTTCATTTAATTTCGCAAACAAATTGAAATTTGAATAAACTGATTTGTTTGAGAAAATACTTTGAAAAAAATCCTACTTTGCAGTTTAATAAATTCTTTAATTTAATTTTTTTATAGGACTTCATAGTAAAAAAATATTTTAAGAAATTTTTTTTTTCTTTTTCCTTTTTAACAGCGAAGCATAAATTCTTAGGATTTCTTACTCTTGAGCATGCAACATACAACTGGTCATGTGTAAATATTTATTTCTGGAGCCAAATTCTTTTTTTTTTTTTTTTTTTTTTTTAAAGCATTTGTCCTTCCAGTGTGAACTGGATTCTTGTAGTAAAAACTTAAAGAAAAGGTGCAAAAAATAATATTTCATTTTTATTAAATAAGTATTTGTCACTTTAATCATTAAATTGTTTTTAAAATAGTGGGAGTATGTTAAGAAAACTTCTAATTTTTCCCCTCCAAAAAATTATGAAAACTTATTGTACTAAGCTATACACCCTAGTGAAACCAACTGTACTTTGTACACTTTACCTGTTTACACTTCTCTCCAAAATTTGGTTTCAATCTGTCAATGTGTGGCTATTTTAGAGGGTGTGATAGACAGACACTAATGGAAGTCACAGAATTTTATATATAGGAGAAACTAGAACTATTTTTGTAATTGTTTGAAAGCAATGATTCTGATAAAATTATCATGAAGATTTTCAGCACCATTTCAAAGCAGTTAATACAAAGTATATTGAACTCCATGTAATTTCCATAATTTAAAAAAACAAAGATATCTAGCTACATACTAATGCTAATTAGTTTAATTCTTCTCCACCCCACCATAAATAGTCAGTTTTCATAGTAGTGATATTGTTTGCAAAATTTTATTTTATACATGAAAAATTAAAAAGCAATTGTTTGATTAATTTTTTTTTTTTTTTTTTTTTTTTTTTTGTTCTTTTTCCAAGTTGAAGCACAAATTGGCTAGTTAAATTGAACAGTTATTTTAAAAATTAAATGTAAATGTTTATTTTACTATTCCTATAGAAAGTATTAAGTCTTGAGACTCAAAATAAAAATAGTTCAATCACTTCTGAAACAATAGGCTACAAAGTAAATACTTATGTCATTAATTTTTTGATAATGTTGAGATTGTTTTTACTTTTATTCTCCAACATATAGATTAGAAGTAATATTTGAACATGCGTTGTTCTTTGGGAACTGTGTAAATCCAAAATTCATTTTTCTTTTTAATTCCTGCTGTTTATTTTACAACTGGTAGGAATAAAAACATGTAAAAACATACCAAGCAACAAAATGAAGAAAAAGCCAATTAATAATGATAATGTTTCAGACAACTTAAGATTATTATGTCTGGTGGTTAGCTAATCCCTGTTGCAGACACTGGCTCAGGTACAATTTTGTTACTTTAATATCTATAGAGCCATATTGTGGTTTACATGTGACTGTGCTTGAGAGAGAGCACAAGCACATAATCTGATGTGATCAATGGTTGAACGAGGCCAGTACACTCAAATCCTTGGTGACAATGATTTGTCGTTTCATGCTAGCATAATCATCAAGGACTACTGAAAGTTTCATCTATCAAAACTTTAGGCACTTGGGTCAACCCGGGATAAGGTTTTCAGGCACTTCCCAACAAAGCAGTAAACTGTGATCACTTCCTACAGGTTAATATTATCAAGAGATTACCACCTTGACATATTGAAAGTAGTGAGATTTGAACTTGGGTCTCGGTGTTGGAACACTGTTCTAACTACTTGACCATGCACCTATCTTTGTTTTTATAACATGCTAAAATGAGATACGAGCGGGTTAATAAGTCTGTGACCTAACACTTAAATATTAATTGAATTTTGATCTGAAAATCTTTAGTGTTTGTATGTGATTAATATTCATCCATAAGTGTTTTGACAAGGAAGGATTATGTTGAAAAATATTTTTTGTGCAACAGAAACGCTTCTTTTTTTTTTTTTTTCTTTTTCTTTTTCTTTTCCATCTTTAAGCTATATTTTTTTTATGTATACTGTAAAAACCTTCACTAAAAAAATTTTTTTTTTTTTTTTTTTTTTTTTTTTTTTTTTTGACCATCTAGAAATAAACTAAAAAAAAAAAAGTATCAGATGTTTTTTAAATGGTCTGAAACAAAATGAATAAAAAAATAATGGAAATTCTTAATACAATTGAGTGTGCTAACATTTTCAAGTTTTTTTGTTTTTTTTTTTTTCTCTGTATGATTAGCTTAAGTAATAGCAAAGTGACACTGACATTACTTGAAGCTGTTTTATTTGATGTTTACTATTACCTATGACCTGCTAGATTTCAAAGGAAAAATGGAGTCTACCTAAAATCTGCCCCATGTGACAAAGCTAAATTAAAAAACTTTTGTTTATTGCCAATGAAAAGTTCATTCCTCTCTGTCCAGTGATTACTATCTTACATAAGGGAGTCAAATGTCAAATCAACAAGGGTCTGACCATCACCAATATGGATTTTTTCAAATTTAATACACTTATAGAGTTTCATGATACAAATTGAATGGTACATGTTTTACATCTCTAGGACAAAGGTTTCTGGAGATATGACTATTTCACCTTTATCAAAAAAGTGAATTTTGGAAAATAGTCACAAAGTTTAAATATCAATATCTCAATTGGTTAGGAACCTCTTACTTAACACACATCATTATGTAGAAATTGTCTGTATGTTCTGTGTGTCCAAACATTTTCCGCTTTAATTTTAGCCATTATAAAGGATGATTTTATTTTGACTTTTAACTGAATGTATGGATTGTTTTATGTGTGTATCTTAGAGTTATGAGAATGTTTTATTTTCCATACATGGTTAGCAAATTGTGGCTGGGTTCATAGTTGATGTTATTGAGTGTTGGTTTTTCTTTTCTTTTTTTCTTTTTTTTTTATTAATAATGCTTTTATTATTATTTTTTTTACATGTGAATGAGGCTATTATATTTGTATTATCAACAAGTAAAATCCTACTTGATAATTGCTAAAAGTATAGCTGAAAATACTCAGACTTACAGAGCATTCAGGCAATTTGTATGTAATTTGTGTTTTGAAAGGAAGAAAATTATAAGAACACAAGAAAAATAAAAAAAACTTAACTGCTGTACCTTGTTAGTCACTTCACACACACACACACATATATATATATATATATATATATATATATATATATATATATATAAATATAATCCAATATTACTTTTAATTTACAAATGGTTATAGTTTTTCTCGGGACTTTGGGAAATAGTCACAAAGTTTAAGTATCAATATCTCAATTGGTTAGGAACCTCCTTTGAATTTTATTTTCATTTGTTTTTTTGTTTTTTTTAACCATCTAAAAATAAACTGAATAAAATAAGTATCAGATGTTTTTTAAATATTGATTACCAACTTATAGGATCACACTTTAATCTACTTTTTTTTTTTTTTTTTAATAGGGCTAGAGAATAGTCTATAAAACTTTCTAGTTAGTAGTTAATAAAATTGTTTAATGTATTAGATTTTACAATATGTTGTTAATCTTTTAATGTTCTCTTTTTTTATATCATCAAATGTGAATAAACATTTTTTCTTCATCGAATATTGGTCTTTTTTCTTTTTTTAATTGTGTGAAAGGCAAGATGGCTGTTTAAAGAACAGTTTTTTTTTTTTTTTTTTTTCTCTCTCTTTTTTTAGTTATGGTAATTATCCTTTCAGATGGGTGTGTTGGCTAAGTAGGTGCATAGAGCATATTTTTGGAGTAGTATTAGTGCTAATGCA